TTCACACTTTCATAAAAAAAGGCTTGAAGTTTCGTGTTTTAGGGTTAGGGTTTAGTGTTTTAAGGTTTCTTTTGAGGATTTTTTTACATATCATTTTGCTGTGTTTTTTTGGGGGGGGGGGGGGGGGGGGGTTCTTTTTAATTGTGGACATCAGCCAAGTCCTATGTAAGCCCCAAACCTTTGCACCTAATACCCTGCACCTAATACCCTGCAGTGCTAGGTGGTTGGGTGTGGGAGGGTTGGGTGATCACAGAAGGAGCTATACGAAGAGAAGTAAGATGGACAGAGGTGTGACATTAGAACTTCCTGGGACTGGTTCAGAATTCTAAATGTTTTATACAATCCTCACCGGAGACTCCGAAGAGAATCACTTTTCCTTGTCCCGTTGGCTTCAAAGACTCAACGGTTCTTCTAAAATTTTGGACAAAAAGCCAAAAATGTATTTTTTTCTCGTTCATTGAGGGATACAGGATTCTGAGACCATTGAGTGAGGATCTGGACACTGACAAAGCAAAGGTCAGTGACCAGCCTGATGTAACCCCTCCCACTCCCAGCATTCCTCAGTTCTTTGCTTGCGTCCTAGGAGGATGGAGACCGCCATTTTCCTTCTCAGCAGTAGCTTTGGAGGCCGTACCCGAAACCCGCTGGCCTGGATGATTGTGTGCCTCTATATAGATCGTTGGTTCGGCCTCATCTGGAGTACGCGGTCCAGTTTTGGTCGCCGGTACTTAGAAGGGATGTCCTTGAACTGGAGAGAGAGTCCAGCGGAGGGCAACAAAACTAATTAGGGGAATGGAGGACCAGAGCTATGAGACAAGGGGGAGGGGATGAAGGACCAGAGCTATGAGACAAGGGGGAGGGGCTGGAGGACCAGAGCTATGAGACGAGGCTTCTGACCTTAAACATGTTTACGCTGGAAGTAAGGAGATTGAGGGGGGATATGATTTTCATATACAAGATGTTCAATGGTGACAGCAGCATCGGCAACAAACTGTTTGAGATTAACTCCATTACAAAGACTAGAGGCCACCACCTAAAGTTGGTGGAGAAAAAATTGCAGCGCAAGGGGCGAAGGGGGTTCTTTACAGTAAGAGCGGTTAAGGTCTGGAACTCACTGCCACCGGCCGTCATCTCAGCCAAGAGTGGAGATTTGTTCAAGAAACGTTTGGACAATTTCTTGAGGGACCGTAATATCCGGGGTACCAGTATCCCTAAGAATGAGATGATGCGCGGACCTATATGGGTTGGACTTGATGGACGTATGTCTTTATTCAACCCCAAATACTATGTAACTGTAATTGTGAGGCTAGCCGGGAATGTGACCCGTGGGCTCTGCATTGTGACACTCTCCAGACCTGACTGTACAATAGATGATCTGCAGATCTTCTGTGGTCAGATTCTTCCATCTACGCTACACTGTGTGGATGGAGGAATCTCCCACTGGGCCAAGCTTCAGTGTCCTGCTAGTCGGCCCCCGTTGGCTGTCAAAACACCTGAACTATGCCTGTATCCAATCAGATTGTTACAAACCTCCCCCCCATGTTATAGCATATTAGTGGTGACAGGTTCTCTTGAAGGTCATACTGGGGCGTCCAAAAGACCCCTAGTGTCACCTTTCCACTTTAAATAAGCTATTGATCGCACGTCAATAGCTCATTGCTGGGCTTCAGGAGCAATGACCGCTCAGGGACCGGAAGTGATGTAATACGCGTCGCTCCCAGTCCCATGGAACGGGGAGGAGATTGGTTAACGGACATCCGCTGCTCTCCTCCCCAGCTTCCTGCCGACACCCAAGATGCCGGGCCTGTAGGAGGGGCAGCAGAGCCCAGGAACACGGTGGGGGGGGAATTGGTGAATGGACATCCGCTGCTCTCCTGCCCAGCTTCCTGCCGACACCCAGGATGCCGGGCCTGCAGGAGGAGCAGTGGAGCCCGGGATACATGGCGGGGGTGGGGAGGGCACTTTACTGGACTGTAGAAGCGATCTGGCGGCAGGTGACCCACCAGAAACGCTTCTACTGTAAAGCCGGCCGCCCGCTCTACAAATATGAACAGTCGCCGGGAGTCTGTTTAAACCCCTTAAGGACCCATGACGGGATTATCCCGTCATGGGTCGTGAATGGGTTAACATTGCTTCTCTACAAAACTACGGCATGCTGAGTCTTTACCGGGCTGGTCACTGATTTTTTTT